CGCCTGTGTCGCTCGTGTCGTCTCGCAAAACTCTTCCTGTGTAGCGCGCGAACAGATTGGCGGATGTGTTGATTCGAGAGCTGGCGGCGATGGAGACATCATCAGGGAATGTCGGCGCCGGCCGGCCCACGCTCGCCCTCGTAGAAAGCGAGCGGGTCCTCCTCTGCACGGCGGCGGAGCTCCATGATGCGCGGTACCTGAGCGCGGAGCTGGGCCTTGCAATCGGCGAGTAGGTCGGTCGTGCTGCTGAGCGCGTCAACGAGCGCGGGGTCGAAAACAGTCGACAACAGGTCGAGGCGGGCTTTCTGGGAGATGAGACGCAGGGCCTCGGCAAACTGGGAGCCTTTGCAGAGGGAGCGAATGGCGGTCTCGATGGAGGAGAGGTATTCGATGTAGATGGTAGCAGCGGATGTGTGATCTTTAGCCTCAGTGAGGGCGTCCGCAAGCGAAGACGCGAGATCCGACAGGGCATCGGGAGAAAGTGCGGGTGTTTGCTGCTGGGCGGCGTATAGACACTCTCGCCAACTGGAAGCGCCTGAGGCGCGGTAGCAAGCTGTGGCTTTGGAGTAATTCTCCAGGAATTCGTATGCAAGGCCTGCATCGCGGTATTTGGACCCAGACTCTGAATGCTCGGCAAAAAGATTGGTGAGGGTACGGTGCTTGGGTTTGTCGTAACGGTAGAGGTCCAGCGCTTCTTGATAAAGGGCATACTTGACGACATATTGTTGCAATTCGTCAAAGACATCCAGACTCTTGAGGTGTACGAGGGCCTTGCCGCGTCGTTCGAGATGGTCGTCGATTTGGAAATGGCGGCGAAGGGTTGGGAGCTGGTGCAAGTCCTGGATGAAGGGCAGATACTCGCGCGGATCCCTTTGTGATTTGCTGAGCACTAGCAAAGCTAGTTCCCGGGTTGTAAAGACCCAGAGCGTTGTCTAAAGTCGATTGACGTCAACTAGGAAATAAATGTGCTCAATGGCCTTTTCAGCCAGCTTCTCATCTTCCTGCATAAGCCCAGATACCAGGGTAAGTCCGTCATCGAGCGCTGGCGGCACTTTGCAGACGTGAGCAGTGATGATGTTCTGGAGGTTCGTATCCTTTTTGCTCTGCAGGCTCTTTAGTATTGAGTTACAAATTTTGTTGACTTTTGACTTGGAATCATTTTCGCCCGCGAGAACATCAGGCGAAATTTCTGATGGGCGGTCGGCGGTCCGTTTGGTGTCCTTGTACATGGATTGCGTAACGTCTTCTTCCCTGTTGATCGTCAGTAGGGCCACAGCAGGATCCGAGGCGGGAGGCTGACCGTAAAGACGAGAGGAAAAGATCAATATAAGTAACGTCCTTGAGCTGATCCAGGAAGAGACCGACATGTGCAAGAAACTGTTCCGGCTGGTGGTCGTAGAGAATGTTCATATCTACACGTTGCGTGCGGCAGTATGAAAAGGCGCGTGCGTAGTTCTTCTCATCAACAAGCTTTCTGATGCCCGCCACGACCATGGCACGGGGGTAAATTGTTTCGAGGTTTCCTCTGGGCATCTGCAAAACAATGCTCATGTTCGTTGGCATCGCCGTGATCAGGCGGGCGCCGCGTTCAATGCTACGACACCGCTCGTCGTCTTGTGGATTGTCGCCAGGGACCTCCATCTCGTCAGGACTGACAAGATGGACAAACTTGACAAAGTGATTATTTGTCGTAAAGATAATGTGGGCATCTGTCACCACAAATGATGTGCAATTCTTCGCCAGGAGGTGTGTGTCTGCGAATAAGTGGCCATTGCGAGTCATACCAATAGACACAGATTGATCCTCGATGTTGACGAGCTGTTGCCATGCAAGCGGCGCTGGCAGCTGTCGTCCAAGAGACGTCAATCCCGCACCACCAGAAAGACTAAAGAGCTTTCCAGAGCGATCCTGTGCATATGCCTCCGCATCCGACAGGCCACAGTGACTGGAGATTGATGACACAGGGTCAAGATCACTCAGCTCGTGTATATTGGCAAGGCTAAATGTCGAAGTAGAGGGCGTGAAGTTAAACACCTCAATCTTGAGCTCCTGGTCGAAGACCAAAACACAGAGTTCGTCAGATGCAGAGAAGCAGGTCTGCAGAGGCACACGCGCTCTTGGATCTCCCAGCAAGGATTCGAACGTCGCTGAGCCGAGTAGCTTTGGGCGAAGCGCACGCTCTCCTTTGGTCTCCCACTGGAAGAGTTCTAGTCCCTGGCGATGCAGAACTGCCATGCGCGAGTTGTCCACATTGAAGACGACCTCAACGATGTTGGAGGGAACCTCGAGGTCGAACAACGACATGGGCGGAGGGACATTTGCTGTCCGGATCGGGGTGACCTTGACAGTCTGCCCATCGGCAACCGCCACGGCGCCGAAATCGTAAGGCGGCATCAGTGCTCCTCGGGCTACTGTGAATGTGTATTCCGAAGCTGTGAGGGCATCTGCACAGTGTTAGCATGATGACAGTAGCTTCATCCCAAGGAGACGTGCCAGTTGTTGCCAATGCAAGCCTCAACGCCTTCTCTGGATGCCATGCCAGCCAAGGAGGAGCAGAAGAAGCATGAGGAATCTCCTGCTTGAGATACCAATGGTAGTTCCCCATCGTCCACAGCTGAACCTTGTCGCCCAGGATGACAGCCAAGACCGTCGAGTCGGCGTTCCACTCAAGCCTGATCCTGCCGTGCTCTGTGACCGGTCCGTCCGGAGACCTCAGGGTGAACTGGCCGTGTCTCAGACCATTCCTCTCAAAGAAGACGACATCAATCTTCTCCTTAAAACGCTGCACAGCTGCAAGCAGGTTTCCTGCCGGCCGCCAACTCAAGCTGCCCTCGAGCCCATCGACAGGCTCGCTGGCACTGTCGAGCACGCCCTCACGGGTGTACACCCTGACCACCCTCCTCGATCCTTCAATGGCGTTGACGGCAACGTACGTACCGTCACCCCTCCATGTAATGGTGACTTGACGGTCGTCCTGTGTGCTGAGCACACCCTCGTCTACCTTTTCTGGAATTGTCGGGTCCCTGAGGGCCTTGGCGCCGCGTCCCTCAAACTGCGTCTCCTTCTTTCCCCAGCCGACAGAGACATGCTTCGATGCGGCAAAGTCCCGAGCCGTCATGGCCACCTCGGCGATTGGGTCGAAGGTCCGCCCCATGAAGACGGCGTTTCCGTCGCCCGTGGTGATGGTGAGTAGCTCATCATCGGGCGACCAGCGCGCTGCGGTGATGCCGGCGTCGATGGAGCCAACCATCTCAATATGTGCGGCATCTTGGCCCGAGGAAAATGTTTCGGACTCCTGAACAGTGATGATGTCGCCGCCCGCGAGAATGATGCAGGTCGTGGCCGTGTCGCTAAAGTGGTGAACGCTGATGATCGAGTCGGCGGTGACATCAGGGTTAGGGCTGGGCGCGTCCCAGGTAGCAACAGTTTTGGATGATCTGAATGTGTCAGTCAGTCTTGGGCTTTCGAGGGGGTGGTCGCTGGAACGCACAGTTTGTTCTGGTCTGATATCCTTACCAGGTCGATGGTGGCCCGCGCCTCAGTAGGTCCGACTGTGCACAAGAGGTCATCGTTGGCGGGGTCCCAGCAGGTCGAAGTAATGTCGGCGTGGGACCACTGGCCGAAGCGGATGTTGCGAAGATTACGCATGACGAATGCCAGAGTCTGCGTGCGATCAGCTGGGCCTCGTCTTTGTGTGCACTCTAGAGACAGGCCCTGGTTGGGGCAGATCGTTGATATCTCATTGAGATCACTGAGCTGTGGTTGGATTCTGAAAAAGTCTTGAGATCAGTCATTGGAGGGGGTACATTGGCGGGGCATTCCCACTGTACCTTCCGTGGTCGACGACCGGGTTGTTGAGTGGCACGGCGAGTGCTCTTTCTTGACTGGACTCTCTCACGCCAATCTTCTTTACGAGGAAAGAAAAGGAAATCACAGAAGATCTACGCCAGCGGTTTTTCTAATGCAAACATATTTGTCTTCGAATTCGGTCGAACCCCCAGTCATGACAGAAGCCAACGACGATGTCCCATCGAAGCTCATACACAGGTACCTCCCCAACTGCACGTCCAAGTATCCCTTCCCACCAATCACCACACCGCTTGCCATCACAAAACAGCCCGATCGGCGAATCACAAGCCGCACTCGCGCCGGCTGGCAAACCCCAGCTCCCTCGGCACGAGTACGGGTAGGCACAGACTCATGTTGCCCCGGATTCTGCCTCTTGCATTCGCCTCTGCATCGACAAGCTCCCGGTTTCCTCCCGCTCCTCCTCCCTCCTCGTCCCATCAGCCGTTTTTTCCTCCTGTCGAACCACCTTTGTCGAACCACTGAGCCATCAGGGAGTCATTGGCTGACTTTCTGTTCTCTTGATTTATGCTTCTTGTTTATTCGGCCCATTGATTGCTCCTCCTGTCACTCGGCTACGTCCATTCTCCAACCCAATTCTGCATCTTCGCAATTACCACGATGGACGAAGCGTATCAGCAACATTCGCACCACGCGCGCCGCAAGAACCGCTCCTCCACGAACCTCAACCACCTCACACTCGCCCCTCTGACCACGAAACTGCCTCTTGACGACGATGCCTACGCCGAGTACCCGCCTCCCCCCCACACGACCTCCTACCTTCAGGGCAAGTCGGCACCCACGACGCCGGGCCTCCTGACCCGCTCGCCCGTCCAGTCTCGTTCGCACTCTCGCCAGGCCTCCGCCGCCGTGGCAGCAGGACGCGCCCACCTCCCGAAGAGCAAGTCTGCTTCCCACCTTGCGTTCCCTCTCGACGAGGACGCGCTGCGCCGGAGCAAAAGGAGCGCCCGCGAGACGCGTCTGGCACGGCGTCGCCCGGTGCACACCCGCCGTCGTCAGAAGAACGACCACCCCGCCTCAGGATGACAGCGGCGACTGGCTCCTGCGCGCTGGCGTGGCGCTGAGCAGCGAGGCCAGGGAGTATAAGGGCCAGACGTGGCTCACGTCGCGCGCCAGCTCGACGAGCCTCGCCGGCGGGCGCGACGCCGAAGAAGAGGCCTTTGAGAGGGAGTTTGCGCGCGAGCGTGAGCTCGCTATCCGACAGGGCAGCCGGAGGGGCAGCGTGGCCGACCTCGAGCCGTACCGCTCCGCCCGTGGCAGTCGCCAGGGCAGTCGCTCGGGCAGCAGGGTCGGACGCCGGAGCCAGCTCATGACGCCGCTGGATGGTCGGCATTCGGACGAAGGCTACTTCGACAGAGTGGCCGCGGGTGACGAATATCTCCAGGGTCCTGACTTTGTAAACCTGGACGAGAAGCTCGAGGCCGTCGACCAGGACACGACGCAGGACGATGAGGCTGCGGTGCGGCAGTTGGTCAAGGGTGAGAACGCCGGGCGTGGCTCCTGGTTCGGCTGGGCCCTCTTTTCGGTGGAGGAAAACGCCGAGGACTCCGATCTCGGCGATGACGATATCGTCGACCCGGTTGATTCGGAGGCCACACCGACACGGAGGGATCCATCAGTTCGTTACTTCGAGATAGCGAACAGCACGCCAGGCGAGCGTGTCCAGCCTCCGAACCCTGACGAGGGTGGTTGGCGTGATGCCGCCTGGTTGCTGAGTGTGGCATCCAAAGTCATACTGTGAGACCGAGATCAGCACGGCGATCCTGGCAATGCATCCGTTGGAGGGGTGGCGGAACATGGTTGGAGTGGCGGGCGAATACATTGGGTCTTAACCTGTCCGCGACCTGCAGAATAGCCAGGATCAATAGAGTTGGACATCGTATCTGTGTTCCTCGGCGAACAAGCCTGCGAACGAGCCGTTGCACCCAGAATGCTGGTAAGCCAAGGGCCCTGGTAGCGGAACAACCGCTGCGCTCGCCCTCCACCCAGGGACTTGCGGCCAGCAGTCGTGATAGAGTCCACGGAATGAAGCCTCACCGAATGTGGCTACAATCGGCACCAACGGCGTCACACAATAAACCGCCAAGGTCAGCAGCAACGTCAATGGAAGATTTGGACCCTTCTAGCCCTGAGATCGGCGCTGCATGGAGGGTTATCGCCCGACCGCCGACTCGCTGAATGGTCCTCCAGCCCCCGATGGCCCGCCCCCCAACTTGGTCTGCCTCCTGACTTTTGACTGGGCGAGCAACGACTGATCAGCCTCGCCCGTTCGTCACTTTGTGGGGGAGCTTTTGTCGCCTAGCATTCTGCCAGCCTCAGTGACGTTTCGTAGTGGAGGGGGATGGTGGCTAGCTGCTCTCGGCTCGGTTGTTGGACTGGCGTTTAGTGCACGTGATTATCTTGACGGATCAGAAAAAAAAAGTTCCAACGTCGCTGGCGTGTTCAGTCGGAGGCGCCAAAGGTATGCCGCTGGCCGTTCCGGTAGCTTCCTGACGGCTAGGATAAACGAACAGCAATGTCACATCTCACTCCCAAACCAGAACACTTTGTCTCAAGGACCGTGGCCGCTTGGTGTGAATGCGCGCAACCCAAACCCAAAGTAGCAAACATAAACGGGTATCGCGGGCTCTAGGCCTCCTCCAAAAACCCGCCAAGATCGGTGCAGCAGAATGACTGGATCCCGAGATGAGCGCAAAACCGGTTTTTGGGGCAGTGTGTCACGGAGCACTTGCATGCAGACTGAAGCCTAGACGCCAGCAAGTTCCCTGCCGACTGACTGCGCTAGAAGACGGTGAGGGAGGCAGGGCGCCGAGAGCAAAAGACCGCTGGGGGAGGGGGCAGAAGGATTGGAGTACGCGGTGGGTTTTTGGCGAGGCTGGATGAGTCGGGATCAGCGTCGGCGAATGTTCTCACTCGATGATTCACGCAGCGGCTCGACGAGGGCTCATGGCTGCGCCGTAGTATGTTGTACCGTCGGTGTCAAGTGAGTGTTGTCAACAACGGGCTTTCTGGTAAGTTGGAAGAGTATATTTTTGTGGAAGTGGGTAAAGCATCAGCCTTTGTGGGCAGCGAGCCACGGGAAGGGAATTCTCCATTGACTCGTGTTCATGGTACGTTGCTGTGTTGTGATCCGTAAGTTCGGGATTTTTTTTTCTCTCATTGCGAGTCGCGAAGAAGAGCCTTGTCTCTGGGACCCTTTGTTTTTGAAGGGCGTGCGGGGGAAGAAACCCAGCGTCCAGACGCGTGGGTTTGAACTGGTGATGCTTCACCGCGGCAGCATGGAAAGTGCACTGGGCGATAATCGCTGGCTCCCCACACCCTCGCAGATCGGATATTAGGTGCTGGCATGAGAAGCCCGATCTGGTGGCGGAGCTGCTTGGCTCGCACCATGACAATACGACAAGGAGTGATGTGTGGCCTGAAGCGCAGGCCGAAAACAGCCATGGGTATCGGCTGATTAGGAGTTGGAGCAACGGGGGCAGACCGTTTGTGTGCCGGCTTGGCCAGTGGCACAATAAGGTATGGGTCGGGCATTTTGTGGAAAGGAAAGGACGTTACTGACCGTATCGGTATCGGCGCACACAGGAGACCAAGAATGCTGCTCGCTGTCCGTCCGTGTTCTGGTCTGGCAGGGAGCTGGGCCGAAGGAGAGGAAGTCGCGGGCCCGTCATCGGCTCCGTTACACACGAACCAACTAGAGCTAGGCTGCCAGCCTTAAATGGTAGCCCGAAACGGACACCCGCAGATCCAGATCCAGTGTGCCGTCGCGCTGTGTCGTTCCTCCACTGATGACGCCGACTGAGGAAGAGCAATGACGTAGGTGTAGGAAAGTAGTCGCCCCGCACGCGCAGGGACCGCATTAGTAGCGCAACCCCTGAAGCATCACCCGTCAGCTGCTATGTGTCTGTTTCTGGACATTGTCGAACGGTAGGAGCTCGAGACAGAGGGCCAAAAAGACCGTCTCCCCCCCCCCCACCCCTTCGGTCCATCCGTAAATGCCTAAGACGCCTGGTGAACTCCATCGACCGTCGTCTAAAAACATTCTCGGTACTGCGGTGCTTGCTGCTGGCAAGTTCTATCCAGTCTCACATCATCGCAGGCAAAAGGTCTCAAGCCAGGGGATCCTGTCAGTGTCCACTCCAGGTCAATCTAGTCCGCCTTGTCCGCAGCACTGCATTGAACAACAATGGACGGTCACTGAACGGTGCTAGGGGGGGTGGGCTCGACAAGAAGAAATTTACTGGCGGGGTAACCTAGGAGCGTGCTGGCCTTCTTGTCTCGTCACGATACGCTAACAGCTCCCACCAGTCCTCCACCCAAGGGGAACCGATCTGCCCAAGTCCGAGGACATTCATTTCGAACCCCCATGCTGAAAGCTGGGGGGTCACACATGCACGCGGCAGAAAGGATAATATGCCCCAATGGGCCACACTGTGAACAAGCCCTGTGATCTCGTCTACGGCCTCGTCGCGAGCTACGTGCGGCCGGAGGGATTGGTGAGCCTTGTCTGGTACCTTGTCTGACAAAGATGTAGGGTACGAATGGATGTGGTCTGATTAGCGATGACAGAGCAAGCAGCTGGGCGCCGGTCAACGGTGTAGGTCCCCGGTACTGCAGTTTGCTGTCTTTTGAGTACCTCGAAAGCCGTCCAGGATGTGGCCGGGACAAGGACTAGGATGACCGCATGCACTGTGGCACACGGCCTGCTTCGCAACGATACTCGATGCTCCCACAAGGGACCTGCCAGTCGAAGACACGTGGGTAAGGGGTGGAGGTGGATGAAGATGAGGCTCCAAGCAACAGAGTTGCCAGCTTAGGAAGGGTTCGCGAGAGCGACACAAGAGAACGAGTGGATCAAGCTGCTGCGTCGCCTTGCCTGGTAATCAATGACCAGGATCTATTTTGGTGAGCTTCAGGAAACATTTCACTGGCGAAGAAGAGCTCGCGCATGGTCAAGCCAAAAGGCGATGAGGGAAGCAACAGCAGACAACAGCAACGACAACAACCAGGAGGCAAGTGGTGGGCAAGCGCAAGGGGGTTAGAGGAGACAACCCACGGACGATGCCCATCTCATCACAGAAGAAATGTGAACAAATAGTTCTGATCCCACCCCGGCCCCTTCGCTTCCTGAATTTTGTCGCCGGGAAGGTTCCAACGACGGATGGGATGAGTGGGGGGACGTTTCGAGTGGGACGACTGTAGGTG